AAAAACCAATCCATCTGTGAGGTTTCAGTATGTAGCTATCCTCACTCATCACGTCTGTGTGTCCGGCAATCTCCATCACCAATCACCTGTGAGGTTTCAGTCCTCACTCAAAGTGTCATGTGTCCGGCACAATCCAACATTACTCAACTCGTGAGGTTTCAGTATAGTAGTCATCCCCACTCAGCGCGTCTATGTGTCTGGCAAAATCAAAAACTAATCCATCTGTGAGGTTTCAGTATGCAGCTTTCCTCACTCAACACTTCTATGTGTCCGGCAATCTCCAATGNGGCAAACTCAAAAACCAATCCATCTGTGAGGTTTCAATATGTAGCTATCCCCACTCAGCGCGTCTATGTGTCTGGCAAACTCAAACACCAATCCATCTTTGAGGTTTCAGTATGCAGCTATCCTCACTCAACACGTCTATGTGTCCGGCAATCTCCATCACAAATAACCTGTGAGGTTCAGTATGTGTCTATCCTCACTCAACGCGTGTGTGTCCGGCACTCCAACATCACTCAACCCGTGGAATTTCAGTATGCAGCTATCCCCACTCAACCCGTCCATGTATCTGGCAATCTCAAACCTCACTCAACCCTTGAGGTTTCAGTATGCAGCTATAATCAGTCAACACGTCTATGTGTCCGGCAATCTCCATCACAAATAACCTGTGAGGTTCAGTATGTGTCTATCCTCACTCAACGCGTGTGTGTCCGGCACTCCAACATCACTCAACCCGTGGAATTTCAGTATGCAGCTATCCCCACTCAACCCGTCCATGTATCTGGCAATCTCAAACCTCACTCAACCCTTGAGGTTTCAGTATGCAGCTATAATCAGTCAACACGTCTATGTGTCCGGCAATCTACATCACTCAACCTGTGAGATTTCCGTTAACAGCTATCCTCACTCCACTCGTCCATGCGTCACGCGTCTTTGGTAGCGCATACTATGGGGGCTATATTTTCCGTAACATACGCAGGGACAAAATGGCGATTTAGAGAAGCAGCTGTAGCTCGACAGCACATTGCACTACGACGCATGCCGTATCGCTTGGCGGACACGCAAGACTGCCTGTGTAAGTTACAGTTTCACGAAAGACCGCCAAAACCACGGCGATGTAGCTGGAAAACACCCCCACCTTGCACGCTAACAATTATACTACAGCTTATCCTCACGGTCAGTGCACCCCGATGTACAGTAGCTGAAAAACGACGCCGCGGCAAATGCTAACTATGTTACTACAGCTTCTCCTCACTGTCGGTGAAGCCCGAACTCCAGATGCTGGACAAGTCTTCCTCGATCAGGAGCTCTTTAAACGTCGTGAGGGGAGTCAGCCGCGTGAATCGACCCGGGAAAAAAGAAAGCACTGCCGTCATTGCCGCCGCCTAGGGGATGCACAAAAGACGGCGATCAATTGCAATCAGAGGCAGGGGGGGAGGGGGGAGGGGCGAACAAGCAATTTCGTGCCGAAAAACAAAACTTCTGCCTAGTAAGAGTTGCGCGCCACGCCGCCAGCCCAGGCCATGGCTGTCAACGACGAATTACAACTCCAGATATGTCAAAACATGGGGGGGGGGGGGGACTGCTGGGGCCTTTCTCGCGTGAGTTCCAAGGCAAGACGGAAAAAAAAACGGTTCGTTTTCGCAACACCCCGGCGCCCCTTTCCACCAGACTCTTCCGGCCAGCAACCAACACCCTGCTCTCTTCTCTCCTTGTAAGAACACGCGAGGAATACCTGTTGTGTTTCTAATCTACTCCCCAATAAATGAAGAAGTCGAACCGAACCGTCGCCAAACGCACCAGTCGCAAAGAAGCATATTTTTTCTTTTTCTTTGTTCTCTTTTGTCTTCACTTTAAATCAGCGCTCGCAGCACTTGTGCCATTTGCTCCAAGCCGTGGTTACGCAGAAGGGTTCATCTTGGTGACAACATCAAAAGCGCTTCCCTCCTAGTCCTGCCTGTCTGTCTATCTGTCGGTCTATCTCTCACCAGGCACGCTACCGCGGTTGCGGCCCTGACGTACTCCCATCGTCGAGCAGGCACTGTCCGTATCGAGTGCTTCCCCAGCTTGCGTCCCAGCTGCATCGACAAGGCCCGTGCACGGAAACAAGAAGGCAACACATAAAACAGAGGGACACAGGGAGGGGGACAATGTAGGGAGGTGATTTCAAATCGATGGTCGTTTGGTTGGTTAACCGGCCGATAGAGAGAGAGAGAGAGATGAGGACGGCACAGAGAGGTGGAGAGACAGAGGTTGAGGTACAACAGGAAGAAGCGAGAGAGAGAGAGAGAGAGAGAGAGAGAGAGACGGACAAAGAAAGTGCCACTCGACGATATGAGACGCAAGTCTCTTGGCCCTGACCTTCTCCACCCCTTGAGCTGTCTGTACTGTTGTCCCACCAAGAATCCGCAACAAAGGCGGGGCAAGCATCCAGACATCATTCTGACACCTCTCCCCTCGTTCCACCCATCAGATCAGACCAGCTTCGGTCCCATGCCGTCACAGCACGCTTCCGACGACCGGTTCTAACAATGCGCGCACTGTATGGGAGTCGACTGGACCCTGGACCGCGGCTAGCTAGACTGCAGTCGGAATCAGCGGGGGGCAGCCACCTACCTTAAGCCTGTTGGTAGTGGAAATTAACATAAGCACCTGCATCTTGAGCGTGTTGAGACAGAAAACGATGTAGTAGCGCCTCAAGCAATTCAGACGGAGGCTTATGTAGAGCACCTTACCTTAAGCATGTTGAGGCGGAAGTTAATGTAGAGGGGCCCCACCAAGCCGCAGAGCACTCCCATTGTCGCGAACACCGGGTACTGCCACACCTTGAACTCGTCCTTCGAGAAATCCCTCTCGATGTACTCCTGCCGCAAACAGGGAGGGGGCAAGAAACGAGCACAAGAGGACCCAGCAGCGAACGGGGGGACGCAAACGCAATCGCGACCGCTTCCCACTCAGGCTGAGCCGAACGGACGGTGACATCGGGTGACCTTAACCCCCCGCAAGCAACACGGTCACACACATGGAAAGTACCTTGGTGTTCAACTACCAAAAATGCCAAAGGCAAATAGCCCAACCTCCGTCCTCCCTCCCTCTCCGACCCATTCTTCACTCCGCACATCCTCCCCGTAACCGCCGAACCAGACCCAAACTTCTTCTGCTGAGATGAACCACCAACCCCCGGAAGCTTGAGTTGTCGCCAGCAGGGAAAGGCAACTGCATGTTGAGAATCAACGTCGACAGCTGAAAAACATACTGGGAACACTACCTACAGATTCATGGTTATTGAGCGTTTGCCCGGCTGCATGTTGAGCGTGAAGGTCCACAGCTTAAACCTAACCTACGGGAGCACTGCCTACAGAATCTGGTCGAGCGCTTGCCACGAAAAAGCCCACCGGCTGCGCATGTTGAGGTTCGAGGTCGACAGCCAAACCTACTCACCGAGAACAACCACTACCTGCAGTACGCCGCTTTCTCGACATTCAGTTGGACGCCTTTGTATCTCAATCGCTTACCGGGAACTCGGCGAGGTGGCGAACGACGCTGACAGCCACCGTGCCGGAGATGGCCGCCACGAATGCCTTGAAGTAGTTGCCCACGTCGTAGTAGAGCGTCGTGATCTCTATGGAGAACAGCACGCCCCCGATCGTCGCCGCGAAGGTGCTGGAGAGTCCCACCGCAACCGACGCCGCAAGCACCTACTATAGCAAGACGAGTCACGTGCTTGTTATTGGCATCATGTTGGATGTTGGACGAAGATTGAGTGTGCTGTCGGCTTGGGACGATGCGGGCGTGGTGATATGAATGCATAGAGACCACCACACCACACCATCCCAAACAAAAAACTTTCTGTACTTGTGGTGGTTGATTCCCTCGTGCTGCCTTGTCTTGAGGAGGGTTGGCTGCAAAGCTCGTGGCCGTTTCAACGCAGAGTATACGCCCTAACACAGGGCAAAGGCTGGAGGGAACTCGTCGAGGGCACCCCACCCTATCCGGCGTAGTAAGGCTGTTGCTCGCGTGATCGGAGGAATAAGGGCCAGATAACAACGCCTGTGTTGGGAATGCTGCCCGTTCACGAAGGTGCGGCCGCAAACCCCCCCCCCCCCTCCTGAGTAGAGGCGGTTCTCCGATTCGAAAGGCTAGATTAGTGGATCGTCCCGTCCAAGCCCCCCCCCGCCTCCCAGCTAGATGGGGATGCCTATCTTTTGAGGGGGCCAGCGACCAACCCAGCCTTCCGAGTCGGAAAACCACCTCCCTATCAAGCTGGGGGGGCGGGAGGGCTTGGAGAGGACCAGCGACCAACCTAGCCTTTCGAGTCGGAGAACCGCCTGACGATGGCGGGGTGCCGCGGCCGCACGCTTGTGGACCGGACTGCATTTTTCAACACAGGGGTCTGCTCTCCGGCCCTTGTTCCAATCATGCATACTCGTACACGAGCAACGGCCTTCATGGGAGACTCTAGAGTGGGTCTGAACAAGTCCATCCCAACCCTAGCCTGGAAGCACATGCCATCCCACCACATCCCGTCATGGTGGCTCGCATTATCTCTCATCCCCGGTCAAGCCGCGCGCTCCTCTCGACGCCCCCCACCCCTCCCCACTCTATGTGGACTCACCCCGCCGGTATGCCTTGCTTTGTGTGGTTTCATGGCGTCCCTTTACTCCGGCCAGCTATCCGCCCCAACGATCGTAGAAGCCAAAACAACTGCTGCATGGTGTTGTCGACAAGCTATACCGCATTATGATGCCCCCCCCCACCCCCCGCCCGGTGTTTGCCATCGGGGTTGGGTTTTCGTCGCTTGGCAACGACGTTGTAAAACAAGCCACCCCCCTCGGTGTTTGCCATCGGGATTGGGTTTCGTCGCTTGGCAACGACGTTGTTAAACAAGCCAATCCATTTTGTGAACTCGGCAACCAGGTTACCGTTTTTATTTTTTTACCTCCGTTTTTTTTTTGGCGGTAACCATAATGGTGGTCGAGTAGATCATGTTGTGCAGGCTGGAGAACCCTCACTCCGCGCAAGGGGGATGGTCGCACCACGTTGTGTTAATATGGTCAAGCACCCTCGAGGCAGTTGCACTTTACAACTTACAACTCCTGGAAGTG